GGTAATGCGATCGGCATTTTTCTGAATCTCGTCGTCCAGCTTCTGGATCTCGTTGTCGAGGTCACGCCGCAGTTGCTGCATCTCTTCGCGGATCTCGTTGCCGAGGTTGGCCTGTCCAATCTTTCCGATCCAGCCAGCTTGATTCGATTCGTACGCGCTGATCAGCCCCTCGTCTGCTTCGAGTGCGCCCTGGTATACCTCGTAGCTGAGGGTGGCGACGGTGTCTGGGCTCAGGCCGAAGAGGCGGTGGCCACGCTGCAGGGCCTCAAGCCCGGCACACGCGCTGGCAGAGATGCCTGCCTGGAGAGGGATACCGCTCCCGCCGTGAGTCGAGATGAAGTTGCATGCGAGAAACATGTCCCCAATCTTGGTATCGCTGTTCTTGAGCACGGCCATCCGAGCGCTGTAGTCGAGCCACTGCAGATGAAATGTGCAAACGTCGACAGCGTCGAAGGCGTTCGGCAAGTCGCACTGTGGCACGTTGCACGCGGTGTGGCATTTGCACAGGGTCGGACCCATCCACCACCTCTCGTCGTCGTTGGCGCATTCAAACTGCATTGTATACGTGCACCCTGGGGCGCACGCGGGCGGCGCAGGCGGCGGCGACATCGGAGGTGGCGGGGGTAGCGGCGGCAGCGAAGGCGGAGGTGGCGAGGGGGAAGCTGCTGGCAGGCACTTGCCGCCCTCGTCGTACACGCGCGCGCCACAGTCGGTGCAGTCGGTGCCGCAGACGCATCGTTTTGGTCTGTTCGCCAGTCCCGTACCAGAGTCCGCGCCGTCCTCGCAGAAGTCGTTTTTGCCCGCGGAGGCGCCATCGTCGTAGGTGCAAGTGTCGTCACAGATTGCGACTGCCGCTGGCGGCGTACGAGGAGGCGGCGAGGGTGGCGGCGCCGAGGGCGGCGCCGAGGGTGGAGGCGGTGAGGGCGGGGGCGACGGGGGCGGCGGCGATGGCGGCGGGTTCGTTGGTGGCGGCGGGCTGGGGCTGACTGGGTCGGCCAAGATTCTGAACCCGACGCTGGCCGAGCAGTAGCTCTGCGAGCCAGTCCGGCAGCAGTAGTCGCCACAGTTAGTTAAAATATTTCCGTCATCGCAGCTTCTGATTCGTGTGTAGTAACTTGGGCACTTGTCACCAAAGCAGTCCGTGTCGCAATAGCATCCTTGATAATCCTCCGCGTCACTGCATTTAAGCATGAACGTGATGGAGTCGGCGTCTCTTGTGGCTGTCTGCGAGTCCAAGTACAACGGATTGGCGTCAGAACCACACTCGAACGAGTATTGACCAGTATTGATGGAGTTGGTGCAACGTATGTAGTTGGTGTTGTCGTTGCCAACACGGTAGAGCAGCTGGACTTCGTTGTCTCTTGGGTTCCGCGAAAAGTAGTCCACAATCAGCCTTTGGTTCGTCATTGGCACGCCTCGGTTTCGGTTCAAATCCGAGCAGCTCTTGATGTCAACAGAAAAGCCTTGATATATCAGACCGTAGCTGACATCAGCCTCGCACAGCACGCGCGACGGCGGCGGCGGCGGCGGCGGTGGGTATGGCGGCAGGGACGGCGGCGGGGTTGGCGGGGCCGGCGGCGGCGACGGTGGGGATGAGGGCGACGGAGGCGGCGACGGAGGCGCAAGCAGCGAGAACGAGACGTCGTCCAGCGCTATGTCCGACCTGTAGTCCGATCCCGTCAATCCATTGAAGCGCACCTGTGTCGTTGAGGCGGGCAGCACGACGGCAGCGTCGAGCCAGCCGTTCAGAGCGCTATTGCCCTGGTCTCCGGTCGCGCTCCAGAGCGTCGACCAGCCGTTCACGTCGTTGCAGGCCTCGACAGAGAGGGTGCCCATGTCTGAGCCTCGCATGTGGTAGAAGAAGGAGAGGGTGGCGTCCTGCTGGAGCGAGAAGCGCGGGCTCTCGAGCCGGTGCAGCTCGTTGGGGCGGCTAGAGGCCTCGGTGTAGATGTAGGAGCCCGAGCCGGTGGTGTGGTCGCCGCTCGGGCCTGTGCCTGACGATGGAGTGCTGCCGCTCGTGCTAGTCCAGTTGTAGCCGTTCGGTGCGGTGTCGACCCAGCCGCACTTGTCCGATTCGAAGCGGCAGTCGATCAACTCCGCGATGGGAGGTGGCGGAGCCAGAGGCGGCAGCGGCGGGGGTCTTGGCGGCGATTGTGGGTTGGGTGGTGGCGACGGTGGCGGCGGCATGAGGGGTGACGGTGGCGCAGCAAAGCATTGGCCGCACTCAGTACACACCTCGGAGGCTGTGAGGCCGTCGCTAGAATCGGTCGTGCAGAATTGAGAGTTTTCAGGCGGAATCCAGTCCGAGGCGTACGTGACGCAACCGCCGTAGCCGGCATCCCAGGCTGAGCGGTCACCTTGGCATGGCTGCGACGGGTTTGGCGAAGGCTCCGGTGACGGCCCTTCGGCAAGCGCACGACGGCTTGGCGCCGCGGCCGCGAGGTTCTCGGCAAGAATCTGCAGGAGAAGCACCCGCAGCATTCCTGCGAGCCTGCGCAAGGCGAGACAATGGTCAATGGTCAAAGGGCTTACTATCAGCGTAGGGAAGCGACAGCACGGAATAGCTAGACGGCGAATGAGTACTGGCAGCGCACCGCGCAGCTCGTGCCGTGCTCCTCAAGGTCTTGATTCTGTGAGGGCGAGTGGTCGGCGTCGGCGAGGTTTTGCCAAAACGTCAGAGAGATAGGAATCCAAGGAGGGGGTCGTGTGATGAGGTCCTCGCGAGTGGAGTGTTGTGTGGCTCGCGGGTGGCTCGCAGGCGGGGCAGACCAGAAGTAGCGAAGAGGGCGCCGCGACCGACGAAGACCAACTGGGCAAGGAGCGACGGCGTGACACCGATGAGGGCGTATCACTTGATGCAGAGGGCGGCGTTTTCCGATGAGGGCGTATCACTTGATGCGGAGGGCGTTTTCCGATGAGGGCGTATCACTTGATGTGGAGGGCGTTTCCTGCGCGATCGTTTGCTCGGATACCCGTGTTTACTTTATGGCCCCTTCCCTGCGAACGCGCACCCCCCCAGGGCTAGGGCTCTCTTGCCCGCAACCCGATACCGATCATCTGGCTCGGTGGGTGCACTTCTTACGAGTAGCTCCCCGGCCCTGGATGTGCGGCTGATGACTGTGCACTCCAAGTGCTCCGAGTTTTTCGCTGAGATATCCCACCATGCAGAGCGCATCTCTCTCTCTCTTCTCTCTCTGTTGTGCGAGGCGTGAACGGCGCCATTCGCTCTCACCTTGGCAACCCTGTCTGCACGTCTGTTTGGTATTGCTAAAATACCGCTCTCCAGGAAGAGGGAGGGAATTGCGAGATCGCGGCCGGTACCTCTTCAATGGAGATGAGCCTCGAAGCGCAGGTGCGGCGCGTCGTGGCGCGGTACGCGCTAGACGAAGGCCGCCTGAGGATGCTCGTGGAGGAGCAAGGGGCGAGCTTCAGCGCCACAGTGGCCAGCGTGGTCGTCGACAAGCTTTGCGGCTTCATCGCGGCCGCCAAAGGCGTGAGCGGCACGGCGCACTACGCACTGCAAGCGACTGCAGCGGTCTCGGCTCAGGAGGCACGCGCCAACCTCAAGACTCTCGAGAAAAACTTGAAGAAACAGGTACAGAGGCGGCGGTGGAGTTGAGGTATGCGCGCGACCCCGCGGCACCCCGCCCGCGGGCGCCGCGTCGCGAGAGGCCGCGTGGTAGTACGTGAAAATATCGGCACATACATGGTTGAATTAATTTGTCCATACGTCAAGAAAAAGCGCGCGCGCGGACCCTTTCTCCGCTCCTGGCCGCCGTCCTCCCTTTTCACCTATTCTCGGATGAGTTCCTTCGCTGAGACGTCAGATCACACGTGACCACACGGGGCGCGGGGCGAGCCACATCATCACTGGCTCGCGGCAGTAAGGACACTCTCGCATCAGCTCGGAGCATGGACCGCACACGCACAAGTGGCTGCACGGCACCGCGAGAAGAGATTTTGGCCGCTCGAAGCATATGATGCACGATGTCTCTCCCCCAGGGTGGACTCTCTTGAATTCTTGACTTCGCACCTCACCTTCTTCGCCTTCTTCCTGCAGAATTTTGTGCGCTTCATCTCCTAGTAGAGGTCCGTTTGAGCACTTGAGCACTGGATAGGAACGATTCCGCAAAGGAGGCGGACTCGCTCGACGAGTTCGAGGCGGCCGCGCGTGCGGAGAAGGCGCGGCGCGAGGCGGAGGGCGTGGGCGACAAGCACCAGACGCGGCAGCCGCGCGTGGTGCCGGTGGTGAAGGCGGGCGACCGACTCGAGCAGCTGTGCCACTACGCGGTGGGCGAGGGCGAGGAGGAGGGTGAGAGCGCGGGGTGGATGTGGTGCTCTTGCACCGTGCTGTCCGTCACCCAGGTGCCCAAGGGCCCGCGGAGCTTCTACAAGGACGGCGAGGCGGCGAGCGTACGGTGGGACGCCAACGACCGCGTCTCGCCGGCCGAGCCCGAGTCGGACGGCTTGATCGAGCTCAAGAAGGGCAAGTTCAACGCGGACTGCGATGGCGCGTGGCGGCTGGACCTGGATGCGCCGCCGCCGGCGGCGGCGGAGGAGGACGAGGAGATGGAGGTGGAGGTGGAGGTGGAGGCGGAGGCGGCGGCGGCGGCGGCGGCGGCGGCGGCGCCGAGGCAGCGCGGGGCGCCGAAGAAGCGCGGGGCGCCGAAGAAGCGCGGGGCAACCGCAGCAGGCGTGGCGGCTGATGAGGCGGCGCCACAGGCGCGCGAGGCGCGCCCACGGCGCAATGCACGTTGACTCTGCGGCACACACATGCAGTGGACAGCGAACACATAGGGTGATGCGATACGGCGGTAGATGGCCGAGGATGCAGACGGACCGTGGTATGTGTGTTGTGTACTTTATATGCTCATATTCCGCGTTACCACAAAACGGAGGGGATATGATCCGCTAAAGCAGCAGGCACACACACGCCAAGCGCGTGAGTTGTCGCTCGGGTTGCCTTAACTAGATAAGATTCCCATATTCATTAATAGCGGCTAGTTTGTCACATCACGTGGATCGATGACCCGGAATATGCCGCAAGACACGGCGCTTTCAATGAAGCAACTCATATCTTGGACGCATCCCTCGACGCGAAGAGCCATGCAGTCACCCGAATTGCTTGGGCCTCTCCTGCAAGTAAACGAAACATTCTTGGAGCTTCCCCAGCCGCTTGTGGCCGCATCTCATCCGTGGCGACGCGCTGTTCCACCGAGCCGTACTCGGCCGCGCCGCCGCGTCGAGGCACGGGTCCCCAACCAAGCAGCGACGCCGAAGCGTCGACCGATAGAGCGCCACACCCAGCAGTATGGGCGTCGACCGCTCTCTCGAGCGGCCGCGTGGCAGTGCGTGGCGCGGGCGTCACAGGCGGCAAGCGTGGAGCCGCTGGAAGAGCCGGTGCGAGCCGTGGACGGCAGCCGCTCCCCACGTCGCCGAGAGAGGCTGCGGGGGAGAGGGTCCAGGAGGCCACAGGAGGCGCCGGGAGGATCGGGAGGCGCTAAAAAGTGGCCCGGGCGCCTCGTGCCACCCGTCTGGTGGGGCCAGGTGGGCTCAGGAATTAATCCAGGATTTTAAGGTGATCCACTACACCTGACCGAGAATTGGATGGCGAGATCGCGGCGAGATCGACCACAGTCGGCCCAGGTCGGCGCCATGCACTGGCGGGCTGCACAGCGCGCTAGATTACGCGGAGGACGTGCGCTTACCACCGGGTGGGATTACCAGGCTCGCCTGGGCTCGCTGAGGGTCGATCGCGGCGCGACCCGTTTTCGGCTGTTTTCCTCGCGAATCTGGGGTGCGCGCCGGGAGCTGCAGCGCCAGCGTTTCGCGGACCTGTGCAGCCTCCGGGCACTGGGAACTTCTCCCAGGCTCGGGCAATGCGGACATGTGCCAGCGGGGGCGCGGAGGTGGTTTACATGCGGATGCGGCACGATCTTCGAGCCGAACCGACGATACAGGAGGCTCCAGAGGCGCCGTAATCGACAGTTGGCCGTCACCCAACTCCTCGCCCGCCGTGACTGTGGGTGTCTCCTGATTGCCCACGCTCGTGGTGGAGCTCGGGGTACCACTTTGGGCCACGGGACAAGCCCTGGGGAGTCACTGTAGCTCGCGCGGGGCTGAGAAGCCCCCATTCCCGCGAAAAATCGAGATTTGGCGAGATATAGGGGGCGGTTCTCATTATTTTCGGTGGCCCCAAAGCTACCCAATCACTCGCCCACCTCCCCTGAGCAGTCTAGTCCAAAAAAAACCGCGCCCCGATCAAGTTACGTTTTCAGTGTTTGCCCCTAGCCATGTTCCTGCCCGGCCCGAAAAAACCCATGTACGCGACACGAGCGCTAACCAGCGGGCGGCGCGCTCCGTCAGCTTTTCGCACTAGAACAGGTGTGGGCCTGCGGCAGCGCCCAGCGCGATGCGTCTAGCTGCGGCGGCACCCTTGGCAGACACAAAGCCATGCCACCACCCTTGGCAGCACAAAGCCGCGCCAGATGTCCGCCAGCTCCGGGGCCGCTCCCTCGCGGCTGTCGAAGCGCTCCTCGTCCCAAGCGATCAGGTAGCCCAGCCGCATCACCTCGACCGCCCGCTTGCGAGCCGCCTCCGGGAAGAGCTCGTGCGACTGCGGCGACCACTCCGCCGCCTTGAGGATGAGCCTGCCCACCTCCACCGCCTCGGCCGCTGGCTCCAAGTTGGCCGGCCTGAGGACGATAGAGATTGGGATTCGAGAGAGAAGGGCAGGCGGGACTGGGGAGGAAGGCAGAGGCATGGGTGTCAATAAGGAGTCAAGAAAGGGAGTGAGGAAGAGAGACACCGCGCCTGAGCGCGAGCGCCTTGGCCTCGCCCGCCACGCGCACGCCGAAGCGGCCCGTCGAAGCGCTCGCGGAGACGACGACGCCGACCTTGCCGTTCAGCGAGGGCCGCGAGACGAGAGAGTGGATCGCGAAAGTGGAACCGACTGCCGCAGCGGTCGGATCCGACTCGCCCCACGAGCAGAGGACGCGCGCCCGCTCGAGGGCAGAAGGCTCGCCGGCTGAAAGGTCCGCGCCGCCGCGCAGCAGCGCCCGCGCCCGCTCGACGGTGAGCGTCTGCGGAAGAGGGGCAATGGGCGTGAGGACAGCGTGCTCACGCCTTTGGCCGCTCGTCTTGGGGCACGCCTCGAGATGCTGGAGCGGCATCGAGCCGCGGCTGGTGACCAGCCAGGCGGCGAGGTCGGCGTGGCCGCGGCTGTTTGCGGCCTCTTCGGGCGTGCCGAAGGGCATTGCGGCGCGGGAGGCGCCGTAGGAGGAGAGCAGCTGAGCGACCTCGAGGTGGCCATTGTAGCACGCGACGAGCAGCGGCGTGACGCCATCGATGCTGGCTTGGCTGGCCGTCGCGCCAGCCTCGAGGAGCAGCCGAGCGATGTCGAGGTGGCCGTTTTGGCACGCCATGAACAGCGGCGTGACGCCGTCCGCATCGGCCAAGTTAGCCGCCGCGCCGGCCTTGAGGAGCAGCCGCGCGATCTCGAGGTGGCCCATCCAGCACGCGACGTACAGCGGCGTGGCGCCGTTGTTCATGGCTTGATCGACCGCCGCGCCAGCCTTGAGAAGCAGCCGGGCGATGTCGACGTGGCCCTCCAGGCACGCCATAAACAGCGGCGTGTCGCCACTGTTGCTGGCTTGGTTGATCGCCGCGCTAGCCTCGAGGAGCAGCCGGACGATGTCGAGGTGGCCCCTCCGGCACGAGACAAACAGCGGCGTGGTGCCGTCCCCTGCGGCTTGGTCGATCGCCGCGCTGGCCTCGAGGAGCAGCCGGGCGATGTCGACGTGGCCGTTCTGGCACGCGATATACAGCGCGGAAGCGCCGCCACCATTCGTCGCCCCAACGCTCGCGCCGGCTTCGAGCAGCAGCCGCACCGCCTCGGCCTGCCCGTGCCGAGCGGCCCAAGTCAGCAGCGTGTCACGACTGGATACCACGCTGGGTGCCGCACCGTCCTGCTTCTCGGTGTCGAGCTGCGCGTTGAGCTGGGCCGCGAGCGACGTGCCGCGCGTCCGCCGCCCGGAGAGGAATGCGCGCAGCGAGGCCAGATCGCCCTGAGCCAGGAGGGCGAGGCGGGCGCCGCTCCACTGTGTATCGCTCATCTCCTATTTGGGGCAATCAGTCAGCCGCCGCCCGTGAAAGATATAAGAATTGTGTTTCCCCCAAGTGCTCCCCGGCCCTGGATGTGCGGTTGATGACTGCACTCCAAGTGCTCCAAGTGTTTTTGACAATCTTGTTTCTTTTATACCTGAGGAGAGAGTGTTTGTGAATTCTTTATTGAAGATCTCGAGCATCATCGCGGCGCGCGTTGCCGGCGCCGGGCGGTCCTGCGGGTGCGTCGCATTGTGCACGAGCCCGTTGAAGTCGAGGTACGCTCGTATGCACCCCAATTAGCGCTCTCAACCACCCTTGCGCCACCCAACACGATCAGCACCGCAGGCGGGCGAGGGCGGTGACGGACCCGGTCGGCGACCCGCTCTACGTGCTCTGCCTCGGTGCGCCGACCAACGTCGCCAATGCCCTGTTGATTGCTCCCGAGATCGCGGCCAACATCGTGGTGGTGTGGGACGCGAGCTCGAGCCTCACGGACGGGCGAGTGGTCCTGGGCGGCCTCAACCTCAACTCGGATTTGGTCGCGACCCGGGTCCTGTTTGAGTTCTGTACGTGCCCGGCTTCCCGACCGCGCAGGGGGTGCAGCTCTCACAAGACCGGAGATGGACGCTTGGTTCAAGGGCGAGGGTCCCGTGTCGGATGCCCTCTGGGAGCGCTACGCGACCAACCCAGATTACTTCTCCTTTGGGACCTCCAAGTGGAACCAGCCCGGCACCACCCGCATGATGTGGGACACCTTCCTCCGTGATCCAGCCGTTCGTGCAGGGGCAGACGTTTGGGTATCGGAATGTCAGCGCGCCGCGGCTGGTGCAGCTCAACGCGACGTGCGATTCACTGTACGACGTCAGCTGCAAGGGCACCTACCCCGGCGACCCAGCGGGGCACCTGGGAGAGTACACGTGCGAACAACTCTCCGAGGTGCGATGACAGGGCCACACTGCGGTTTCTATATCTCCTCTCGCCCCACCCCCACCGCCCTGCCCATCTCCACCTCGCCGGCTCGCGTCCCCTCTCCAGGACGGGAGGACCTGCGACGACGCCCTCTTCTTGACCGCCGGCGAGCGCGTGCCCACGCATGCGCCGACGCCCGGCGCGGGCGGAAGGGCCGACGCGGGTGCGTGGGCACTTGGCGGTTGGTGGGGAGAGGGGTGGGGCGGTGGACGGGCCGGTGAGGCAAACCACGAGCGGCCGCCTCGCCCTCGCCCAGAGACTGGCGCGGGCCGGTCGGTGGTTGAGATGACCTACCAGGGTGGGCTCGCGAGCCGGTCCAACCCGAACCGCGACCTGCTGGTTAAGCTGAACCTGGCTGGCTTGTGAAGTGAGCACATGAGATGTGATCCGTGTGATGATTCCTGACAACCGCCTCCGCCAGCTCTGGTGTCACAGTTCCCCTGCTCTGAGGGGATTTTTGCGGGTCAGCTCGACAAATCAATCTGGAGCTGTGTCGCCGGCGCGCGGCGGCCTGCCTCCGGAGGTGTGCCTCTGAGCTGGACATTTTGGGTCACTGCGTAACGCCCGTATGCTCGTCGCTGGGCAAGAAAAAAGCGTTTAGGGTTCGTGCTTGCGGGTGTCCATTTCTTTTTCCACAGCCCTTGTCAGAGAGGTTGGCGCGGAGAAGCTGCTGAGCGCGCTGGACCTGCTGCTGAACGGTGGCCATGTCGGGCGCGCTGGCGACAACATCCGCCGCGTCGGTCGGAGTTGGCCGCTGCCCAGGACACGCAGTACTCATCGCCCGGCTGCAGAGCGTTGGTCCCTCCTCTGTTTTTGTTCTCTTTCTTAGGCGACTTGATTTGAGAGAGAGAGAGATTCTTCTCTTGATTTGTTAAATCGACTCGCCCGCGAGGAATTCTTAGATAAAATCGGAGCTCAAAGCACCAAAAAAGAAAACAAACCCGGTCATTTCCTTCTCCCGGCCGGGGCGGGGCGCGCGCGGGGGCGGCGGGTGTGCGGGATCAGGGTGTCGAAAATCACAAAAAAGAAACTGCAAAAGCGGCGTGGCACCTTAATCACACGTCCCCCCAGCGAGGGACCAACTGCGCCGCTGTCACTTCCTGTCTCTCTACTCCGCGGCCTTTCCTCTACTTCCTCGATGAGCTTCGTCGCGCGGCCAACCATCCCAGCGCCCAAGGCGTCCTACGTGGAAGGGCTCCGCGCCAAGGAGCGCGAGGGCAAGAAGACGACCGCTCGCGCAGCAGCGGCCGCAGCGCCGAAGCAACCGTTCAAGACCGCGCTCGTGATCAACGGCGGCGGCCTCCTGCCCGTCGCAAGCGCGTACGGCATCTTTCGCGGCCTGTACAAGGCGAACGTTGGCGACGAGCCCTGTGCCCTCGACCAGTTCGACGTCATGGCGGGTGCCTCGCTCCTGCCCCGCCTCGGCCTGACTGCCCCGCACAAGTCACCCTCCCACTCTCTGCCAGGCGTCTCTGGCGGATACCTTGCCAGCCAGACGTACTGCTACGCCAACCCTGAGCCGACCGGCTTCAACAACTTTGACAAGCCCTGCTCCAAGCTGGACCCGGTCAACTTCCTCAACACCAAGGCGAACTCGGACCCGAACTCGATTACGTGGGACGACCTCCTCACGGACAACTCAAAGGCCTGCGACGTCAAGCCGGAGATTGGCTACTACAACTGGATCGTCCGCCAGCCCGGAATGTTCAACCCCGGCTTTGTGTCCGGCCTCTTCACGTCGCTCTCCTTTGGCTTGGTCGCCCAGATCCTCTCCGTCGGCAAGTGCGTCGGCCGCGGCTGCTGGCCAAAGTACGGGTGGGTGTGCCTGCCCAGCTTCTCCATCGGCCTCGCCTCCATGCTCCGAATGTTCTTTTTCAACTTCTTTCTCTCCCCCCTCGGCATCTCGCAAAACAAGTACACGGCCGCAGGCCCCAACGAGGTCTCCGACGTGGCCTGCGCCGCCGGCGTCGAAGAGTGCGAGGTCGCCTACCCGCGCCCCGGCGCGCCGACCCCAATGGCGCACTCGCAAGTGATCCAGGCGCGATCCGCCCGCTCACCGCAGCCCCTCCCTCCCCCACCTCCTTCCCGACCACTCACCCTCCTGGATCCCGCCGCTGCTGCTGTCAGGTCACCGGCGTGGGCTACCGCAACTTCGTCGGCCCGCTCACCAAGTGGGCCCGCGAGGTGTCTGCGTTTGTCTACGAGAATGGCTACAGCAACGGCGTGGCCGAGAACCACATGGGGAAAGGCGTCTACCAGGCGCTGCAGCTTCAGCCCAAATACAACAACGTGAGCGTCGTGCCGTACACCTTCACGCCCGGGCACGCCATCACGCAGTACGACCCGAAGAATGTGAGCGACCCGAACAAGCCCGACAACGGTCCGATGACCTTCGACCGCAACCTCGGCACCTGTTGCGTCGACCCGCCGGACGTCAAGTTCATCTCCAACTCGCAGCCCTCGTCGACCTGGGTGGAGAAGCCGAGCTGCATTCCGTGCGCGCCCATCACCTCCTCGGAGCACCTGTCCCCAGAGGCGATCATGTCCCTGACGGCAGACTTCGTCACGCAATTACAGCCAGAGGACTTCCCATCTGGCCTCTGCGGCTCGCTTTACACTTGTCTCTCCTCACTGTACCCTTTGGCCGACCTTACTTACGAGTTCAAGCCCATGCCGACCAACTTCGTCGGCCCGCTCAGCGAGCCAACGCGCTGCTTCTTCTCTGACGGCGGCGTGCTCGAGTCGACCGGTCTGGCCGGCACCATCGCGCAGGGCGTTTCAAAGGCGGCCAGTGCCCTCCCGGTTGTCTCTCGCTCGCACATGCTGCTTCTCACTCCCCTGCTTCCCCTGACTACCCAGGCAGCTGTGATGATCAACAGCTTCAATCACGGCCCGTGGGTGAAGGATGCCAGCAGCTGCGTGGGCGGCTGGCATGCGTCCGGGGCCCCGTGGACGTGGACCTTCGACCCGTACGCAGACAAGCCCGAGCCAGGGCTGGGCTACATGGGCTCGTCGCTCGCATCGTGCTTCGGCGTGCAGCCGCCAGACTTTCAGCCTAATGCACTCCTGAAGGGCAAGGCTCTCCGTCCCCTGTACGTCCTCAACCACATCCTCGACAACAACCCGGAGACCTACGACTTCCGCAACCTGTCGATCCCCGAACCCAAGTCTTACGAGGACGTGCAGAACGTGCCGTGGCCGCCGAAGCCCAACTTGGGGGGGGACAAGATCTCGCCGTGGGAGTACCTGATGCAGTACATGACCTACTGCCAGCGCGCCGGCCAGCCGCTCGTGTGCACGCTCAAGGGCCTCAAGGTGCTCGACAACCCCTTCTGGGGCACGACGAAGGCGCAGCACGATGTGACCCTCACCGTGGTCTGGATCACGCTGCCTATCATCTGGGCGCGCCCTCAACCACCCCCTACTTCACCCCCTACTTCACCCCTACTTCACCCGCCCCTCTCCCCGCCCCTCCCTCTCCCCCTGCAAGGCGATCGATGTGCGCAAGTCGCTCCTCAAACACCCGAAGGGCTGCTCGCCAAAGCTGGCCACCGCCAACTGCAAGATGGCAAGCTACGACGATGACTACAGTGGCAACAACCCTTTTGGCTGCCTCGACAACTTCCCGTACTTGGCGCCCATACCGACGTCGGTCGGCGGCTCGGTCAGCGCCATCCTCGCCAACTTTGGCCTGCCACTCGCTGGATGGTCGAAAGAGCAAGTTGCCCTTTTCGGCTGCCTCGGCGCGGTTCGCCCTTGACCCCGCTCTTATAGACAGTATCCGTCCTCACGCGCCACGCCCTGCCTGCGAACAGGCGACTATATCGTCAACGGCGACGAGGGCACGAAGTACTCGCGCAAGGCCAACTTCACGTGCCTCCTCGAGTAGATTTCGAGTCGACGCCTCGCGGTCCCTGTCACGCACGCGGCACGGCTCGACGGGAGCCGTGTCGACCGTCGAGGCCCTGTGCATGTCGCGAGAGTACTGGTCTAGTAGAGAGGCCCTTGCACCCTTGTCGTCGGTGTGCAACGTCCTATCTTTTGTTCACGCATGTGTCGCGCAACGTCCGTCCTTTATTTACGCATGTGTCCACAGTTCCCCCGCTCTGTCCTCTGAGGGGATTTTTGCGGGTCAGCTCGACAGCTGGAGCTGTGTCGCCGGCGCGCGGCGGCCTGCCTCCGGAGGTGTGCCTCTGAGCTGGACATTTTGGGTCACTGCGTAACGCCCGTATGCTCGTCGCTGGGCAAGAAAAAAGCGTTGCGCAGCGGCGCCGCCAGGCGCCCGCCCCGGCCGGCGGTGAGCGACGCGCTGCCGCCAGCCAGAAGAAGAAAAATGTGCATTTCCCGTCCCGAGAGAGCCATCCCTCCCTTGGGTTGTCTGTTTTCTTTCTTTCTTTCTTAGCCGTCCCGTGTCCCGCGGACAGATACCTGTTCTGCGCTGACCCGCGGGACAAAACAAATTTGAAAATCTGTTTCCCAGCGGGCGGCTCGCTCCGATTTCACGGTTTTCGCGCGTCTTACAATCCCAGAAACCCCGAGGAGTTGTTTTGTTTGTGAGTTGGATACACCGAGAGGTGTGTCGCCCCTTGCGGGGGTGGAGCGGAAAGGAGGAACCTCTTCCCAAGAATTGGCTAGGGCTGTAGAAGCAGCGTATCTCAGTCGTTCTTCACACGGATCGCAGAGCAGATTGTGAATGAGCTTGCCTGCGGCGAGGGCGGTCGAGTGCACGCGGAGCTAAGTGCCTCGCCGTCCTCGCAGGAGTCGAGTACGTTGGCAGCATCCCAGCCGTCTTTCTACGCGTGAAAACGTCCACACAGGCCGAAGACGCCTTGACTTCGCCTGGGGTCCATGCCCGAAGCCCACCCTGTGAATGTAGAAGGTAGCCATCCATGGTTTGCATAGTTGCACACAAAATTCACTCACACGTTGGCGAGGGACCTCTCAGCACGATGGTAGAAGGGGCACAACGAGTCGGTCCACCAACGTTTGTGGCGGTCGGTAGAAGCGGACCACAAACAAGTAACGCTCATTAGTAGAAACTTACGGGAGTTTACTTGGACCCCGCCCGGCGGCAATCGCAAGATCACCTCGTGCTCGATGAGGATAGCCGCCGTAGGCCCAGCCCGTTGATCGCCGTGGACCACATCCGGCGGTCAAGGCAACTTTATCTAGAGCCTGCTCTAGAAACCATCTACCGGGAGGCAGTGGCCGCGGGCTGGCCCGGCGACGACGGCGCTCTGGATGGGGCGTGACCTCCTGCCTCCAACCTCCTTCCTTTTTGAGCAGGTGTGACGCCGCGCGAGCGACGCTCCGAGATCGCCCGAGATAGCGCGGCGCGGCCCCGAGATCGCCCGAGATAGCGCGAGATCGCCCGAGATCGCGCGGCGCGGCCCGGGGCGGGGTGGATGGGTTGGGAGCGAGGGGGCGGAAGTGTTCAGTGCGGTAGATGGTAAGCTCGAGGCGCGTGAGCCGGACTTGTGAGCCGGACCACCCCCTCTTGTTCCCTGCGTTGTTGAGCCAGGACTCAACATACTCGGGCTTGCAATCCCAAACTGTCACTCCCCTTTCTCCCGGCCGAGGTGGGGCGCGCGCGGGGGCGGCGGGTGTGCGGCGGGTGTGCGGGATGTCTGTGGGCCCGAGAGCGATATGCCATGTCCGCCTTGCGTTGTTTCAAAACATCGAAGGCTAAGCCAAAAAGAAAAACACCGCCTTAATTGCTTCTCGCCATCACAACGCCCGCAAACACCGCCGCAATGTTGGGGACCGCCTTCACCGTCGGCACTGCCCTTGGCTCGGACATCCTCTCGGTGCATACCACGCTCGTAGAGGACTCGCACTGGTGC